CTGTGGACCCCCGTTAATCTGGATGACAGTTCGTGCATATTAACAGGGTTTATTTTTATTTTGAACGTCTTGTAACCCTATGACCATTAGAAATTTGAGTTTCTGGTAGCCTTATTTGCGATTTTGTTTTGATTCTGCTTTCCATTTTTCATCGTTTCATTTGGCTTTATTATTTATTACGCTATTACAGTGGAAGCGGAACGGCAGCGCGAAAAGCGGAAAAGCCCAATCTGAGTAAGCCTACTTGTCGGATTGAAAACTATTCAGAACAAAATTGACTCCGGCTAGGCATCTTGATGTCATTTGTGACAACTGCCAAACTGCTCATAAAGACGATAATGAATAAAAAATGAAAATGTTCATGCATTTCCTAATGGTTTCCTACCATTCCCATATATTCGAAAGTGACTGGCCCTCTGTATGTGGATGATGTCAAAACAACAAAACATGATTAATTGAGTACATGGGACTTTACTTACTTTTGGCTTCCCACATAGTACCTAGTTGGGTGAAATAAACTTTTTTCCTTGATTTGTTTTCCGTACTGAATACCAATGCTACCGACGCCCGAGAAGCAGCATCCACACCCACCCTTCGTGATCAGAGATTTTGTACCTCCGAAAATCCCGGCGGCACTTGAGATATAAACTTAATTTTGACTATTTTTTTCTTACCGTGTGGTTAAATTTTATTCAACAGTGAGTTGTTTTTGATAGCCTTGTTACGCTCAATTTACAGTGTATTAGTCACCTTTCGCGTCACTAGAGCCGCTAGTGTCGGGAAAAATCGTGTCTTGGGGATAATAGAAGAGTGAACCATATTGTTAATTTATAATATTTGCTGACAGCGACAATGGGGAGTTTCCAATACAGCAGCTGGCGCGCAGTAAAAAGCATGGAGGACTAAAACTGCAATTGCCAGCGATCAAGTGCAAAGCGCTTCTCGTCAATCGCCATCTTCAAGAGATCGATTCCCTTCCCCATTATCAGTCCCTTCTCGCCCAAAATATTCCTCCCCCTGCCTAAAACTCCTCTCTCAGCAATTTTCCTTGTATCCCCACCACATCCAACAAAACCCCACCAGCGATCAAAATCACCGCTTCTATCTGGAGCAAACCGAGATACCAAAAGAGGAACGGAATCAGCCAGGCCTGAAAGGGAAGAAGATATGGGCAAACATTTCATCAAGAAGACTGTCATCGAGCCAGCGCAGCGATCTCTACTTGTTAGTTAACAACGAAAAAACGGAGCACCGCAGACTGATGAACACCATCGGCCGTGCAAACGACCCGCATTGTCAGCACTGCATGATGGTCATCGAATCTTTGCAACACAAGTTCAGTGAGTAGCCGGCGGCGGTGGTGTAGTGGTAAGCGTGACTGCTTTCTAACAACCCAATGTTGTCTGGGTTCAATCCCAGCCGAGGTCGGTGGGATTTTTCTGATGCATAAAAATCTCTGGTCACGTCTTCCTTCGGAAGAAATGTAAAGCCGTTGGTCCCAGCAAATGTGTGGTGAATGGGTGCGATATTCTACGCAAGTGTGGAACCTGCCTTCCTGCACATTAGATTGTCGGCAATGGATGGCAATCGATGTCCGTCGGTGATTGGTACTAGATTTCGGAACAGAGACCGACGTTAAATAAAGGAATGAAGTTCAGTGTTTGCCCCCGAGTAACCGCGGCATGGGCGTACGTGCAACGAAGGATGACGATGACTCTCGGTGGGTGGCAAAGGCCTACTTTGGAAGACCTTCTACGCCCGATCCTGGGTACAATTGCAACAGAGACAAGAATCAATTTACTTAAAATTTTCATAAAATACATCAATTTTATTAATGTCAATGTTAATAGTAGAATCGATGTAGGTGAGCTAGAGTTTGTTCTAAATCTAGAAGAATAATTTAATTTTTTATCCTTTTGAATGTGTTATTTATTATTAAAAACTAAATAAACAATATTTCTACAAAAAAAAATCCTCATAGAATTGCAATGATCTTCCAATTGTTGAAATACTCAGACAGGACATCCAAGCCAGACATTGTCAAACGTTTTTTCAACGTCTAACAATGCCATAGCAGATGTTTTAGAAACATCCTTGTTCCGTCTAAGAATGTTTGTTACTCGGGTCAGTTGGTGGATGGTGGATGGTCGATCATCCTATTCGAAAACCAAACTGCTCCTCGAGTAAGGTGTTGTGGTCTTCGGCAGACGTTAGAAGTCGGCTGAAAACTGCCCTTTCGAACAGCTTGGATAACCATGAGAGAAAGGCTGATGCGTCGGTAACTTGAAGGAGAGGAAGGATCCTTCTGAGGTTTCTGGATTGGTATAACTTTAGCTGATTGCAAATCAGGCCAACAGTTCGTGAGCTTTGGATTCATCAGGAAAGATGTTGGGATCCTGATGGATGTTTGCTGCGTTTTCAGAAATCGCAGCCTCGTATGGGCCTATGCTGTTCTGTCCGAGATTGTGGGAGCTGATGAAGTGTTACTGCAGCCTTTTCTACAGGGGTTATCAGATGAACCACTGAATTGTCGGAACGATTCAGTGGTATCAGTGGATTATTTTAAACAATTTTGGTAAGATTCCCGAGCGGCTTAGCACAATCTGGAAGAGAGCAGATCTTACTAGCAAAGTCGTTATTTCTGAGGTCCATCATCCTGATTTGGATAATTGGCAGACCAGAGCATTGGTATTGCCTTTGAATGGTGTTACGGAGTCTGGTAAGGTCTTTGGTAGATCTTTCAAGGTTCAGCGTATTGCTTATCTGTCTGGATACTTCCTGCAGGTCGTTGTTCAGGATGGTGCCTTTTTGATTGCGCCGACTGTTGCCCCAAGCTTGATGTTCGGCGTTTAGCTTGCCAGCGATGATAAAGTTTTCCCGCCGTCGTGTTAGCTTGACAATATCTCGTCGCAGGGCTGCTGCCGACCCATCTCTGATGTTGACTTGTTTAGGGCAGTATGCCGCAACGATGGTGATGGGGCTCCAGGTGCGTTTCGGTGATGATGGTGATATCGATGTTTCGTTCGTTGAGGAATTCAACATACTCGATGCTCTTGCTCCTGAGCGAGCAAGCGTTCCAATTGGCAATTTTGATGGCTTTTTATTGATGATGGATACTGCAGCATGAAGCTGTTTTTTTTTCGGGTCCTGCAGGTGTACTGGATCATGGTGACTTCTGTCACGAGTGTAACAAGTTCCGCCGATGTAAGTAGAGTGTCTACTTTGTCGATCGCTGGTGAAGGGGAAGCACCTAAATGCTGCCGCGATAAGATGGAGAGGTGCTTCAGGATGCAACGGTTGCCTCATATGACTGACGACTTGACTGTTATGCACCCCAGATGTAGCGGGACCGATGCAGCACCAGCAAAAAATGTACATGGAATACGAAACTTCAAGACATTTAATATTTTGAGATCTTAGACTTACTAAAATAAAGTATATGTTAAATTTCAACATTTAATGGGGTTTGATTGTAAAGCTGTTTCTTTAAAACTGGTTGTCATGTTTTAAGACCTCCTGTAGATAGAGAAAACGATTAAACGTCAAAAAGCTATATAGAAGCACAACACCTTCGGATTGCTCGAAAATTAGAACAAAATGTAATTATCGACTTGACTATCAGATCCTACACAACACTATAAGAAAAATGATCAATCTTGAAATAAATTCACGCTAAAATAGTTGAAAATAGTGACTGATTACAAGAAACGGTGACTTAGCCTTAAAAAGGAGACTTTTTAGTGACTGGCTTGAAAAAAGTGATCCGCTATCAGCTCTGCCAACGCCGCCATCCCACCTCGGGCCAAGGGACAATGTGGATGTAAGCACCATATAAACTATTGGAGGAATTGAAAGGATTATCGCCAACTCTGTCAAGGATGCAGTCATCGAAAAATGGATCAAGTGGACAAAGGAAAACTCCATTACCGAAGCATGGAATCTTCAAGATCATTCGTAATAAAAAAAAACTACATAAAGATCAACATAACTACTCACGGGTTTTCCATGAATGCAGACAAGTTCATCAATCATCACATAAGTTCATAATGAAAACGACCAACTCACATCCCATAGCTACAGTTCATCTCACCTCGATTTGCATTGGAAACGACAGATAAGGATACCAATTGGACTTATTCCGAAATGCCGAGGTAATCGGCTGTTGGAGATTTTACCGAGCTAGATCGAGTGTGTAGACCATCCCCCTCCACCACGTACACAATCGTCCATACATTTGTTTGAAACCGTAGACGCTTACCAAGCCCCCTTACCGTCCTACCCTAAAGTGTCTCCGAAGTTTACGATCATCCCCAAAGGCATGTAGGCAATTTTTAAGCGCGAGTCTACCCCGTAACGTGGGTAGATCATCTTTTCACGGTACGTTACGGAATGAAAGATCTACCACCGATTCCTAATCCTGACTACTTCAAACTAGGGGAACAAGATTTTTCAGTAATCAAAGGAACACATCATAGTCCTTGTTATTCTTTATGTCTTGTTGATAGTGACAAGACTCGGCTTTGTCCACCAAGGATGATCTTGAAACAAAGAAAAACTGAGTTAGTCTTCTCCTATGTGATTCCTGATCTTCTATTCGTTGTTCCCTAGCTTGAAGTGGTTAAGACAAGGGTTCTGATGCATGGTCAATATCGGTGTCATTCTTTAATGTTGTTGCTAAGGAATCCATGATCAAATTACTGGTCGCAGTGGTGTTAGGTCCCGAACAGAGGAAAAAAACGCGAGTCTACGAGTCATAGAAATTTCCAACAATTTGCTTGGACGATTGTCTACACGGGTAGTATTCGAAGCTAAGGTAAGAAAACATGTAAGCAATTTTATCCAAATTTCCGACGAAGACCATAACACCAAAATTGCACCAACAAGCACGTCTCATGGTCATGGCACCTAGGTAAGCACTTTATATGTTTTTAATTCGCATACGAGTTTGTTTACCCTACTTTTGGTCACGTAGCTACTAACAAAACAAACGCAAAACCTACCTATATCCGAAGTTTTCCCCATCGGGTTTGCCTCGTGTTGATGGTGTGCCTGGCTACCTCCACTGGCTGAAGCGAAACCTAACGGTCCGGATCCGGCAGCGGGACCCACCTTTGGCATCGACATGGCAGTCAGTTGTTTTAATCCTTCCGCCACCACAGCCGTCCGTTCCAGGGTTTCCTTTAGGAGTCCCCCGGCCTTTTCCAGCTCCTGATTGGGATTCTGGAGGATTTTTTTCACCGTGTCCTCCCCCTGCCGAAGCTGCTGCTCGAGCAGTTCTCGAACACTCGAATTGGCCCACAGGTGACGGGCAAATTCACTATGCGTTTTGGTTGATGCTTCAGCCACCAGTTTCAGGGATCGCAACAAGGCCACTGCATCCTGAGCGCGGGACATTTTGCTAGACTGCACACTTAGCAACTTTCGTTAATAGAATTCGATGGAAAATACTCCGAATAGTGCACTTGAATATTCACTAGCCCGAATTTCGCAACATTAGATGACACAGCGCACCCGGTTAGTTCGCACGGTTAGGTAACTGGCAATGAGAGAATGAAGTTGAAGACTGACAGACAGCTCCATTCGAGTGCTAGGTTGTACCAATACAAGTGCGGACGGATGGCATCGTAAAGATTGTAAACAAACAGAGCGCTCATGGCCTAAATACACCGTTCAAGTGAGTTGATTCAGCTCACCCCTGATTTGGTCGTCAGTGTTCAAGTGACTTGAATACGATTTGAAAAAGCTCGACATCGACCAACTGTCTGGTTGTTTAAATTACAATTCAATTGGGTTGAATTCAGCATTGAATCGTCTAAACCGGATTTAAGGGTGTGCCTAAACTACGTCACAAATTTCTCAAGTTAAGATTTCAACGCTGAATTAGATAATTTTGCAATAAAGTAAGAACTAATTAGCAATTAAATTACTCATATTATTATTATTAAGCGGAGCGTAATTCGAGGCCTCCTACCTAAAATATCACAACTATGGTTGTCTCTTTCATGCGCATAGCATCGTTTGCATATTGCCGGCATCGGGATAACGGTGTAGTAGTAGGCTCTATTGAACACGTGCTGCACTACCGTAGACGATCTGTTCATTCATGCGATGTGGTAGTGAAGCAACGGTATGTTTTCATTGATGAATTTAGCCACAACAAACTGGTGCGGAGCTTGCATGCAAGTTAGATGGAAAAGACACGGAAAAGAATTTGTGTTGGATTTACAAATTTTGTATGCTAAATAATTTGGGAACGTTTTACTATGACTGAAATAAGTTTTTGGAATGCAGTGCTTTATACTGCTTCTGGCAACACTCACCACCATAGGGTGAGCCTATAGTCGCTATATTCATAGTCTGGCGGATAGAATCTCGGGAAACAATTGAGCTGTCAAATAGCGGAACTAATCGAGCAAATCACGATCAACAACAAAAAAGATCACATCAGCTATTGCGAACCAAACTTTAGAAACCCTTTTCTCGTAACTCGAGGCCTGCCTACGTAAACTTACAACATCATTGGGTTGGGGAAAGTTTCCCCTATCCGATAATGCTGTTAATTTACGTTCGGGGTGAGGAAAGAACTATCAAAGTTTTGTTTATAAAAGTTGATATGACCTTTTCAGTTGTTGATTGGTTCCGCTTTTTGATAGATCAAAAATCTATCCACCAGACTATAAATATTGCGACTATAGGTGAGCCGCCTTCAATCGTGTGGTGGAAAACTGTCGCTGGAATGTATGGTGAAATAAATTTATTATTAAAATTCGCGATAATTATGCCCTTTGTACGAAATGTTATTTCTACATAATGTCGCTATTACTACAAGGAATAAAATGTATAAATTTGTTCATAGAAAGATCCAATATTCGTAAAGAAATCTACGATTTTTGAAAACCTCCATTCTACAACCACAGACAAACAGACGCAGATGAATAAGTTTTTTTTTTTGAAAACATAGTACCTTAAAACGTAGGACCTCAGTAACGACATCTCTCGAGCTTCTGGCGGAATACAGGCTTGCTCGTTAAGGCACAAACAATATTGCATGCACGGTAAACAGAATATATAGAAACGTCAAAGTGATCTGATGCCAGCGTGCGGTGAGTAGTTTGCTGAAATGATAATTTTCAAATCAATCGTTAAATGCGTGAACGATTATCCAGATTTAGCGGCAACATCTGTCGGATTTGATGGTAGAAAATAGTACCCTATACGGAAGGATGACTCAAAATTAAATCTTTTGCTCTCATCGTGACACCTAAGAGCAACCAGTCAAAATTGAGTTATTTACGATGTATCTAATTTTATGTATTTGCGAAGATATCGTTTTAAGTAAGATGTAACTGTTTCATTGATTATTGGGTAACAACTACTTGAAACTGGGTTTTTATTTCAGCAAATTTTGACGTCAAACATTATTCTTAAATTGCAGTTTATACTAGGTTTTATATTATTTTCAATGTTTACGTTTGGCATTGATAAGCAAGCTTAGAATTTTTTTTTATTTTTACGAACAATCAAACAGAATTAAACAAATAACAAAAAAATCGTTCCTTGTTGACCAACAACGACATTGATATTGCGGTGAGAAAGGTACTCAAGTAACCAAAAGTTCCATATTCAACAATAAAACTCACTTCCAAGTTCCAATAAGTTCACATAAAGTTCCGACAGAACCTTCAAGTTCCATAAAGTTTGAATAAAGTTCTGACAGAACTTTCAACTTCCAAAAAGTTCACACAAAGCTCCGACAGAACTTTCAAGTTCCATAAAGTGCATATAAAGTTCCAACACATTTTTCTGGCTACTTTAGAAGCTATAGAAAGAACACGAGGAACTTCAGGCTCCAAAAAGTTCCGATGCGTACTCCTAGCAACTTGAAGTTCAACAAAAGTTCCAAAAAGCATCCCTAAGCACTTCTTAGGAACTTCAGGCAAGGCTGAAAACATGGCCACAACAAAGTACCGAACAAGTTCCCAACGGAACTTCTGAGCATCTTTAAAGTATTTTAAAAGTTCTCTGTGGAACTTCTTGGCAACTTGAAAGTTTCTAAAAAGGTCCGTCATAGCCCACATGAAGCAATCCGCACAAGTCTTTATTATGAACAAAATTTAGTGTACGTAAATATTTAATATTCAAATAAATCATAATTCTTATATCTATGCAGTGCATCAATATTCTATCCAAGCATAAAAAAATTAAAGAACAATTTCCCTGATTCGAACCCGTGTATTTGGCATGCGATCTACGAATGCTAACCACTACACCACAAGTGTGTTGGAATTCTGGCGGACAAACACCAATTTAAAATTTATCAAGGTGATGTGTTTCGTATTCAAGTCAGTCAGCTGCCCAGAAGCTGCTTAGAATGCTCTTCAATTATGATACCGGAACATTCAAGTGCTTATAATGACTTAAAAATGAGGCTGCTTAGAATTCTATAGACCACCTTCAACCAAGCTGCTTAAGCCACAAATAGCCTTTTATCAGAACTTTTGGTTACTTGGGTACTTCTTGACGGCAAACTTCTTTGTACAACATATATGAGTTTTCCATTGCCTTTTGGTTGCTGAGTTACCAATTGTTCTGAACCAAAAAAAAAACTTGTTTTGAACTAAAAAAGCTACACTTTGATTACAGTAAACCCCCAAAACTGCGGATTATAGGGTAAATGTAAATGGAAACCACGTAAACGGTGTCCAAACTACATGGAATTTGATTTAACTGGTTACAAAATGGAATATCTCGAGATCCTGACCAGATATAAAGTTTGTAACATGTGCATCCCTCATGTCATAAATTCAATATTTCCCACGACGCTTCTAGCAGACCACTTCTGCTGTGTCAAGCTGTGAAGAGACAATTTCCAGTAAACTGCAACGGCCATCGAACTACTGCATCAGCATGAGGCAATCGTTCGATGACCGTTAAGCATTCTTAAAGTGTCACATTTCGATCTGGCTGTTGTTAAGCCACCAGTGGCGCAACATGCTATCGTCATTCTCTCTTTTCGTTAATTGCCTTCTCCTATTCTCTCCTATTCTCTACTTATGTATTGATCGCTGATTGGTGATCGAGTACATGGTGACTCCAGGAACCTCCAGTAGGAAATTATTGTAATGCAATAATTTGAATAAACTCTCACTCTGATTTGTACACTCAACTGGACTAGCAGTTGTCATTAGAGAAAGAAAGACATGAAAAATAATAAGTTTACATGGCGACATGGCGTGGTGACCCCAGGAACCTCCAGTAGGAAATTATTGTAATGCAATAATTTGAATAAACTCTCACTCTGATTTGTACACTCAACTGGACTAGCAGTTGTCATTAGAGAAAGCAAGACATGAAAAATAATAAGTTTACAAGTTACTGTCTGCGGCAAAGTTGTTCAGGGGATCATAACCTTTTTACTACTGGATAGTAGTTCAGAATTTTCTCACTACGTAGCGCTAACATGCATGTGAAATTCTTGCATGTGATATATCTCGAGATCTTGACCAGATAGAAAGTTACTGTCTTGGGCAAAGTTGTTCAGGAGGTCAAGGTCTTTTGGTGGAAAGGAGTTCAGAGTTTTCTCACTTCGTGGCACTAGTATACATGTGAAATTCTCACATAAACAATAGCCGCATGCTGTCTTGAACAAACTTGTTCAGGGGGTTAAGACTTTTTGACTGATGGATAATAGTTCAGAATTTTATCACCACGTGGTACTAGTATCATGTGTATACTCCATCTGTGGTCGAGGTCACCGATTTGAACCAAACTTTGCCAAACAGCTTATTTTGGCATTCTGCACAAATTACTTTTTTGGATTTGCTCTTAAGTGCCTAGATCCGTCTGGACTACAACCCTGGATTTTCGAGATATTTAGAAATTTCATCATTTAAGAAGAGATTACTTCACAACCAAGCAAGCTAGTTTTGATCTTAACACGCCATTTTAAAGGTATTTTAATGAAGGTTTCGAGATACATCATATGCCAGAATTGCACGAGTATACAAGCGCCATGAAGTGAATTCTGAAATACTGTTCATCAGCCAAAAATCCTTGACCCCCTGAACACGTTTGCCGAAGATAGTAATTTTCTATCTGGTCAGGAGCTCTAGATACTTTATATGTGAGAATTTCACGTGTATATTAGCGCCGTGAAGTGAGAAAATTCTGAACTATTGTGCACCAAGCAATAGGCTTTGACCTCCTGAACAACTTTGTCGAAAACAGTAACTTTATATCTGGTCAGGATCTCGAGTTATAGGATTTGCGAGAATTTTAAATGTATACTAGCACCACGTGGTGAGAAAATTCTGAACTACTGTCCACCAGCCAAATAGTCTTGACCTCCTGAACAACTTTTCCCAAGACAGTAATTTTCTATCTGGTCAGGATCTCGAGATATTCCATGTTGTAACCAGTTAAGTCAAATCCCACATAGTTTTGACACAGTTTACATGGTTTCCATTTAGATTTTCCCTATTATTCGCATTTTTAGGGGGTTTACTGTAATCAAAGTGTAGCTTGTTTAGTT